GTGTGTGTGTTNTATATATATATATATATATATATATATATATATATATACGGCGGCGAGGATCAAGTTTTGCGTGTTCTTTTTTCTTCTCTTTTTTTTTTTTCTTTTTTTAACGCTGGCGGAACAATTGGTGTGCATCGAACCTCCACCTCGCGGCAATTCATTCAACTTCTATTGCAATCTTGCTTCCTGAGGCGTCGTTTGATACGGTAGTCCTGGGAAGGCTGCGCCCGCCGCTGTTGCAGCTGCAGCCGCTGCTGCTGGTAATCCTGCCGCTGCACCTGGTAGCGTTGCATACGTGTATGGTGTCACGTAACTCGCTGCCGCTGCATTCGCTGCAAAAAGAAGAAAAGAAAAAAGGTAAACCGCTTTCTAAGCTTCTGTGTATTTTGCCGATCTTAGAGCGGATAATCCTTTGGAGAATACAAGATGAATTGTGAATAAATAATTGTGCACAAAGAGAGTCAAAAGTAAGTTAAGAATTACGTATCTGTATCGACATTGAATGGATCTTTTTTCCCCCCCCCCTTTCTTTTGTTTTGTTTTCTGTAAACTGACTTTTGACTCGTGTTACATGTGAAAATTTTTGAATGTTTTTTTTCTTTCTTTTTTTTTTTTTTTGAGTATTTGACAAAGCATCTTTAATTTTTACCCTTGTCAACAGATTCATATTCAATTCTTTGCCAAGACACTATATAATAAAAGCTTACTGACTACTCTGTCATCCATTGTGACATTTTTCCCACCACCACCGTAGACAGCACATCAGAGCATCAACAAAATTTGCATGTCGATCGTGTTGAATGCGAAGCCAGCATGAGCATGCAATATTGCATTTCCATTTTTTTTTTGTGTGTCTGTTATACAGAGAGCAGAACATTCCAGCGCAAATTAAAGAAACTTTTATTCAAGCAATTCTCATACTCCTGAGAACGTATACGAATAGCATAAAAGTAATTGCAGATAATATTGAAAATAATAGAAAAAAAAAAAAAAAGAAGGAAAAAAATGTTCAGCCATGATGTGTAAATTTTGGAATGAAGATTGTAGAAAGTTCTCCTGTTAAATGCAAAATCTATTTGCTTTTTGATATAAACATGTGTGACCAAAATAAAAAAATTCGTAAAAACTACGAAACATACGCCAACGTGAAGAAGCGATAGTGAAACAAGTAAGGAAGTATTCTCAGCAAGATTCCCATTATTTTGCGCTATGAAAAAAAGTATCAATTTCTTTTAAGATTCGTGTTGAAATTCGTTCTCAGTGAAAAAAAAAAAAAAATAAATAAATAATCCAAAAATCACAATAAATGAAAATACGTGTGAAAAGCTTCGAAAAAGAATTTCATGATAAAATAAATAAATCTGAGAAAAATTATCGAAACGTGCAATCTTTCATATATTGTTAATCTTTGCTAATACTACCTTGTTACGCAAACTTTATCAAATGTATATATTCTAGCTTCCATGAAACATGCAGTCGTCTAACAACTTGAAAAAAAACATTGAAACTGAAAACTATCAGTATCGACGCACATGCGTTCAAAATGATTACGTGATATTTTACCTTCGAAGTTACAACTTTTAAATGAAAAATGGAACAAAATTTGAAAAAAAAAAAAAAAAAAAAGTATTTCGAAAAGATACACGTTTGAAAAGGAAAGAATAAAAAATAAAGAATAATAGAAAAAAGAAACTTTATAACATATCCCTTTCACGAATAAACTGGACTGGCTTATTTTATTGTAATTTGTTGGGAATCTTGCAGAGATTCCTCCTCGTGGAAGTGCAACTAATTCCGCTACTTCAAAAAAAAAAAAAAAGGAAAAAAAAAAAAACAAACTTCTTCCTCCTTTCTCGCTCTCATTTACACCTAATGACGGGACCAAGTATTCCCTGCTAACAGCTAGATTCAAGAATCCATTTCTCCTTTTTACGTTAACTTAACAATCATCATCATCACCCGGAACAGAAACAAAAATTTGACTTGAATGGCGCTGGCGTCGAAACTTGATCCCATCACTCCACGCACTCGTCCGCCCTATCTCCCCCCCCCCCTCCTCCTCTCCCCTCTCTCTCTGTTTCTAGTCGCTATTTTCTTTTTTCTTCATTTTCTATTTCTTTTTTTTTTTTTTTCGTAATAAATTTCTACCGTTGCCACGTAGCACGGACGGCAGAAATGGCGGCAGGAGAGCTTTCTCCAATCGTTGGTGTGCCAGCACCGCAGGGCTGCTGCCGTTGTGCTGCTGGTGGTGGTGTATCAGCCCGTTGCTGTCCTTGCTCTGGACACTTTTCAAACACATACCAGCGGCGGCTGCGCTGGTATAGGGATAAGCCTCGGCGAAATTGTACGACGTCCCCGGATAAGTGGCGGCAGCAGCCGCGACGTTCTGATACTCGTAGAACTGAGAGGCCGCGGCCATGGCAGCCGCGTGGGTCAACTGCGTGGCCGGAAGCGGCACCAAACCACCTGGCGCGGCAGCCGCCAGGTACGGCGACTGGTACACGTAGCCTGGTGGCACCCTGAAACCAAAATCGTGATACCGGTTAGCCGGTATATTATACCTTGCCCCCCTCCCCTCCCCCCTTCCCACCCTACATCCAATCTTAAACGACACTTAAACGCTATGCCACTCGTACATCTAATTTATTACGAAGAATACTCATAGTCGGATGATCATGGTGGATTAGTGATCTATCAGTGGCACTGCGATCGCTTTGTATATGTTTCTCTCTCATTCTTTCTCTCTCTCTCTCTCTCTCTCTCTCTCTGTCTCTCTTTTGTTTTATGGAAGTAAGAAAAGGAGAGGTGGTGGCGCTAGTGTCGCGCGCGTCGAGCGGCCATATTGTTAATCCACCATGATGATCGATTGGCCCTGGATAATCACACTTGCCGTTCGAGGCGACCCGTGGTCCATCGAGCTTTCTGTCAGGGATCCTAAGGGAAGTTAAGCCTTCGAACATCATCTCCGTTTTCTTTTTTTTTTTTTCTCGAGGAGACGAAGAATGATAAAAATGATAACAACAACAAAGGAGGGAACTTGTTGTCGATGGACAACCGGCAAGCTCGAACTTTTCTCCCTGTGCGGTTAAGAGTTAAGAGTTAAGGGGGAGGGGGGAGGAGGAGAAGGGAAGGAGAAAGGCTTTTTTAACCAGCGTGTACACAGTGTGAAAGTGGAATGTCGAGGTAAGTAAAGCGCGGATAATGCAACCCTTCCTACTCCTACCCCCTCAATTAAGATAAACGGTTTATTGGAAGAGCTAACTCTTCTCGAATTGAATAACAACACGATCGCGTATTGGCCTATATTCCTTCTTCTAAGGAAAGTGTCTTTCCTTTCCCGAAGTTTTAGAGAGATTAGAATCAAATCGATTTTTTTTTTTTTACATCTAAACGAGATGTTTAGATCGAGGAAAATTATAAAAACTTAATTCGAATCAAATTTGTATTTCGAAAAAAAAAGTGTTTCGTCTTCGAAATATATAATACGTGCATTGTATTTTCCAGCGTGAGAAAAATGAATGATCGTACGTTTTTCTTTATTAGGAAAGAAAAAAGAAAAAAAAAAACACGTGTCACTGAATTAGTAATCAATTCTGTGTTATTTGAAACTGTACTTTGATATAACATTCGATAACCGTGAATCTGAGAGTATTATCCGCGTTCTATGCCGTCATACGAATGCTACTTTTACGTGTACCATTGCAATGATATATCAAACGATAATAAACGCCGAGTAATAAATGTGTGTGTATATGTGTGCGCGTGTGTATGGCTCGTGTTCGTGTAGAAATTATTATTCGATGCGTGAGCGAGAAAAAAGGACAAAGGGTGGGAGGAGGGGAAGGCAGGGAAGAGAGTGAGAGCGAAAGAGAGAGAGAGGAGACAGGTGGACGGGAAGCGAACGCGTTATGAAAACTGGTGACAGAGTGTGGTATCACTAAGGCGTGACATTAAAGAAAAAGAAGAAGAAAAAAAAAAAAAGAATGCGCAACAAATCCAATGAAAAGAGAGAAAAAAAATAATAATAGGAAAAAAGAAAAGAAAAGAAAAAGAAAAGAAAAAGAAAAAAGAAAAATCCTCAACGTGTCGGCAAAACAACAACAAACCAACGACAAACGTGTGTAAATAATCAGGTCATTTCCACGAATGATAATGATACTTTTCGATACTTCACGGCACACGATTAACCTAACACCAACGTTAGTACATAATTTACTCTAATAAAATTCACAAAAGAAAAGAGAAAAGTGAATAATACAGTTCCAATACAATGGCAGTGCCTCTGTCTCTATCTCTTTTCCCCTCTTTTTCTTTCTTTCTTTCTTTCGTTTTTTCTTCCTTTTTTTTCAACGCATAATATCTGCGCGCGCATAAAAAAATTCGCCGCCCCGACTCGATTCTCACTTCAACTTGTTCTCCAATTATCGCGAAAAGGATCACGTTCCTTATGGGCCGACGACGTACGATCATCGACCAATTTTCAATATATATATATATATATATATATATATATATATAT